ATTTAACCATTTCAGATCAGGAGGATCTGGTTCCCAAGCCTGATCTACAAGAAGACTGCGAGTAGATACTAGATGCTTTATAATTTCCTTAATTTTTCTCATTTCTCATATTTCTTTCAGAGAAATTATTCTGTAATGTTGTTTATAACTTTTAAGTTATTGTGTAAGGGATGTTAGCCTTAATCTTTTATTTTGCTTCTGCACTCAGATTATTATATGTATTTCCTTTTGAATTTCCGGGGCCGTTACAAATTTGGTCTGGAATTAATTTTAAAAAATTATATTAATATATAAAAAATATAAATTTTAAATTTGTAAATTTCTATTTAATACAAAATTAGAAAAAAAATAAATAGAGGACGAAATTAAAAATAATTTTAAAAAAATATGTGAAAATTTGGGGTCGGGGAGTGTTTTTGAAAGAAAATTCAGAAATTAAGGGTCGAAACGCAATTTAAGAAAAATATGTTACGTAGAACCGCTCAATCAGCAGTTTTGACGAACCGGTGCACACCGCGTGACAAGGGACGCTGACTTGTTGCCATACGAAAGGTCACGCTAGCGATCTGCGTACCTGCGATCGAACAGTCCAGATTTGTTCTCGTACGCGTGGACGGACCGGATCCGTTCCCTCTTCAAGCACGATCGGACGGTCACGATTAAACGCGATGAATGGTACATATTCATTCCCCCTTTAAACGTGATTGTATGGTCCAAATCAAATTACGATGAATAGTTCAGATTTATTTTTTCGTTAAACGTGATCGAATGGTCAAGATCAAATGCGATGAACGGCTTAGATTAAAGGGAGATGGGTATAAATACCTCACTTAACACCAAACCCTAACTCTAGTTACTAGCCTCCCATCGGAGAAGAAAAACTCAGTAGCCGAAGAAGGGAGTCGACTGCCACCCGCCGTCGTGTTGGAGTCACCTTTGACTGCCAAAAAAAGGTAAAAAAAAATTTATTTGCTTGAAATTTTATTTTGAACACCCCCATGACCAAATCAGAGTAAAAAGATCGGTGGATGAGCCGAAAATCGCGGGTAAAGCCCAACAGCACCACTGCGAAAAAAATCAAAAATCGCCTCCAATGAGCATCTTTTCAATTCTCGTTTCATGCGATTTTTTCACAATTGTATTTACCATTCTGTTTTCTATAGATTGACCAAAGAAAAACACTCAATCGTGAAGGTGAGCCGGCGGAGCCGCTGCACCAGAAAATCTTGTTGTCAGTAAGTTTTTATTTTTCTAATTTTTTCGGTCAATCGAGCCCCCTTAACATGTTTTCTCGCAGGAATAAGTATAAAACCGGCCGAAAATGGCTACTTCGAGGCTAACCACCACTGTGGGCGATGGTCGCCAGAGCATGACGATGCCACCGTACCGAAATTCTGAAATTGGCCGGAAAAGATTTTTAACACCAATCTTGAATTTTTTGGGGTATTTCTAGGTACTTGAAGCGTGTTTTAATCTCTGAAGGTAAATTCAATAAATTCGAGGACCGCCAATAAGCACAGCTGAAAGTTTAATGTTTCAGAAATCGATTCGGGTAAGAATCACTCACCTTATTCTTTGTTATGGAATTGAAATTTAATTATAAATAATACGGTATTTTGTGTAATTTTAAAAAGTTCGATAATTAATTACATGTTATTAATAGAGACGGAACCGGTTATTTATTTCTGTTTGTTATATTTTAACTGATTGAATGATTTTACAAGTTTAAATGCATAATAATACACTTGAGTTAGTAAAATGATTCAGTTGTATTTCCTTGATGCATATATTATTTGTTTTGCGTGATTTATAATTAAATTGTGAAACTAGAAATTAAATGTAAACAGAAATTTATTTGATTAAGTGAATGAATGAACTATAAACTTATTAGATATCTTGAAAAATGGTGGACGGACTGGGTACATAAGGAACCCTACCGTGAACGTTGTCTCATACCGAATGAGATATTAAGGATTGGTATTTTGGCGCTCATACCGAACGAGGTATGGGGACGACCCGTTTCACCCTCATAACAGACGGAGTATTTAGGGATGATATTTTTGGCACTCATAACGGACAGAGTATGGGGACAACCAGTTAGTTGACAATGTAAAATAATGGTTCACGCATAGTGAGGACATCTCTATAAATCCCCCTATATACCAGTAGGCAAATAAAAAGGAAAAATTGTTATTCTGACTAATTGAAAATGAGATTATGATGGTGTTTGTGTTATTGCTTCTATAGGTCGGTTTTGGAAATCTCGCTACGGTAAGTATATAATAAATTATTTTATTTATGATAAATAAATTTACTTAAATTAAGAACTCCATTAGTTATTTTTATAATTTTTATCAACTTCATTTCTGTATCGGTTAGTAGTGTGACATTCTTACTGTGCTAGTGTAACTCACTCTTTCATTAACCATTTCATATCAAGATGATCAAGATTCAGATCTCGATCCATATGATGGTTGCGAATAGGATACCCAGTTGTTTGCTTTCCATTTATTTATTTAGTTTTTTGTTTGTTCTTTTAGAAGGGTAATTTTCATACACCTATTGGGTATTCTGAATTATTGTGTAAGTAATGTAAACTCTAACTTTATTATTTCGCTTCTGCATTTAATTTATAATTTATTTCATTTTATTTTTTCGGATCGTTTCAATGGTAGTATCAATTATCCAATCAATTAATGATTAGCTTGTGACATTTAAATTCGCATAAGTATTCATGCACTTTTTGTTGATGATAATACAACTTTTGATAGAGAAAATATGGATGAATTAGTTAAACTTAAGGATTATTATAAGCATTATCAAAATATGTTGATGAGATAAAATCAATTACAAAAGCTGATGGTAAATTACAAATAAAATATTATATATCTATTAGAGTATCATTGTAACAAATAATTAGAGTACAACTTGTTTAGGAGTCTGAAAAAAAATACATAGGACAAATGATCAATCATAGAAAGATCAAAGTTGAAAAAATTTAGAGTCTATGTAGGTTGCCTAACAAGTTAAGGGTTGGAAAGAGAAAACATTGTCAATTATCCCTATGTATGTGACTCAAACAATCTTTACTTACAAACATAAATGATTTTATTCTACCACAATTAACAATTAAAATATACAAAGCATTATGAAGAGGTTTTAATGGTGGCAAAGAGATGTTTTTATTAGTTTAATTTAAGTTTATTAAAACATTGGACAATTGTGGATTTTTCACGTAATATGTGATGTTTTGTTGTGTCTAGCGTTACACTTATAACATTATTTTAATTCTTAAATTATTTGACCACCTCATAAAATATGAAAGTTACATAATTATAATAATAAATAAAAGACGACAACACTAATGTTTCATGGATCACATGGTATATTTGAAGTTCAAACATCCACAAAAATATAGTATTATGCTCAATCCTTTCCAAGGGCACTTATATATAACATGAAATCGTTTCAATAAGTGTGAAATTGTGACACATAGTTTTGTCTATAAAAATCAAACAGTTATAACTATTTGATATAATTCATATAAATATAACTTTTTTGTCATATGATTTTTCAAATATTTTAATGAAATTTTTATTTATTTTTTTTTGTCATCAGCTCGAGTTTGATAATTAGATAATGCACTATAAAAATATCTTCAGTGTTCAATAAATACTTATCTATTTTGCAAATTAAAGATCTAATAAATTTTCATATATCAGTATATACTATGTTTATATATAAAGTATTTAAGTTAGTTGTACTTTAAATTAATACCTAAACATTAATTTAAAGGCAATACATGATTTTACATTATGAGTTTAACTTAATTGTCTATTGAAGTTGTCTAATATCGTATTATCTATTTATTTTTTTTATTAGTTTTAATAAAAATTTTAAATGAACAAATTTAAATACAATTATTTGAAATTTTAAATACAAATAAATTAAAATAAAAAATTATGTTCATAATTTTATGTCATAACCAAAAAAGAAATACATAGAACCAAATAATGATAAAAAATAATTACAATAATTAAATAAATTTATAAACTACTATTTACCATAATTTAAATCATAATGTATTAATAGAAAATACTTATAACGTCTCGTGCTAATTTTAAATTTTAAATATCGCAATCATACTTCCTAACCTACCGTCACGTTCTATTTCACGGCTTCTTTTGGAGGGAAAATTAAATGTATTTTAACTCAGCGTCGCATGTTATCGAATCTCAAAAATTTATATCCAAATATTTGGTTTGATTTAAATAATAAATACTAATAAAATAAAATATTAATTTAATAATAAATAATACTTCACCTCCGTCCTCCTCTATCCAACAACGAAGAAGGCCACCATCATCGTCGTCACCACCACGATCAACTCTAAACCGACGCCGTTTAGCGCAAAGGATCCATTTCTTTCCTCACCTCTTTCACACTCTTCCCGTCTGGACACTTAATAGACGAATCCGGTTATCTTACTTCGTAAGCAAACGTTGAAGTCGTCTCTCACATATTTCTTGGATCATTTTGTTTGTCTCATTTTCTGGAGAAAATTCGAGATCATTTGTTCACCGCGTTTAATTCTTTTCTCTCCTTTACCAAGAAAAATATCGATTTCATTCTTAATTGCGCGAATTAGGGTTTCTCGTGCGGAACTGTGGTTCTGTATCTGAACAGTGAGGATCTTGGATCGAATCAGAGTTGAGTTTTGGGTAATGAATTCCTATTGGTGGGTTAACTGGGGTTTTCGAGGAAGGTTTTAGGTAATTATAGGGTTTTATGATTGAAGGAAGACTCTGCTCGTGGGTGATAATTTGGTTTCAATTGGTATGATTGGATTTACCAATAGTATTAGGGTTTTGATTCGATTTAGATGCTCCTTTGGAAGGTAATATGGGTTTTATGATGGTAGATTGATAAACAACATGGTGCGACTTCTAGGACTAAGCCGGGGAGAATCTGCTGAGTCGCCTAGGGAGATCACTTCTCGCACTAATCTCACCAGTGACTCTGGTGAGAACGGTTGGCTCATCAGGTTCTTTGACTCAGCGTTCTTCTGTGAGTGGATCGCAGTTAGCTATCTATATAAGCATGAGCACTCGGGGGTGCGGGATTACCTATGTAATAGAATGTATACACTTCCCTTACAGGGAATTGAGAGCTACTTGTTCCAAATTTGTTACATGATGGTGCACAAGCCAAGCCCCTCTTTGGATAAGTTTGTGATAGATGTGTGTTCCAAGTCGCTTAAGATAGCACTGAAAGTGCATTGGTTTCTAATGGCAGAGCTTGAGGATTCTGATGATAATGAAGGCATCAGCAGGATTCAAGAGAAATGTCAGATTGCAGCTACGTTGATGGGTGAGTGGCCACCACTTGTGCGGCCCCCAAATGCACATTCAAGCCCAGGAAGTAAGAACCAAGTTCTGAATAGATTATTGTCCTCGAAACAGCGATTGTTGTCACTAGCCTCCTCACCACCTTCTCATAGGTCCTTATCTTTCTCACCTTCATCAGGGAGCAGTTTGCAAGAGGATGTCAATCAGATACCTAACGAGGAGAATAAGATTTTCAAGAAATTCATTCCTAGTCCCAAGGTTAGAGATGCATTGCTGTTTAGGAAGTCAGTGGAGAAAGATGAGGAAGAGAGTGAAAAGGATGGGTTTTTCAAGAGGCTTTTGAAGGATAGTAGAGGTGAGGATGAGGAATTGACATCAAGTTCAGAGGGATTCTTCAAGAGGCTTTTGAGGGATAGTAAAGGTGATGGTGAGGAACTGACATCGAGCTCAGATGGGTTCTTCAAGAGGCTTTTAAAGGATAATAAAGGTGAGGATGAGGAGTTGACTGCGAGCTCAGAAGGATTCTTTAAGAGGTTATTTCGGGACAAGGGTGAAACTGAAGATAAAGTTTCAAAATCTGTGGAAGATGATGAGAAAGAAGGATTCTTTAAAAAGTTTTTCAAAGAGAAATTTGAAGATAAGAAGGATGTGAATGATAGGAATGAGGACAACGAAATAGTAACCTCTGAAGAGAGGTGTTCAAAATCTGTTGAAGATGATGAAAAGGAGGGTTTTTTCAAAAAAATTTTCAAGGATAAATTTGAGGACCGAAAAGATGGGAATGATAAAATCGATGATGGAAATACAAATGGCGAGGAAGAGGAATCTTCAGATTTTTCGTTGTTCAGAAGATTATTTCGAGTGCATCCAGAGGATAGTAAAACTACTGGAGCAAATGAAAATATCAGTAATGGTGGGTTGTTTGAAAGCAGTCCAGGGACGGAGAACTTTTTTCGCAAATTGTTTAGAGATCGCGAGCGTTCAGTTGAAGACTCTGAGCTTTTTGGTTTTAAAAAGCATAAAGAGGTGTGTTTCTATGTGCCTTTGTCCTATATTGTTGATTTTTTTGGAACTATGACCGCATTTATGGGACTGTTCTTCATGCTGATTGATGCTGTACAAGGTGTGTCTGGGACTGCTGGGAGAAGGTGTTTATAAGCATCATAAAACACAAGTATTTATTTAAAAATGAGTTATTATCATGTGCTACTATGAAGAATGAGCAATTACTATATTCTGATATGTGCTTGTATTTGCTTAAATAGGTAACTAAACATGTTACAATATAAACACTTAATAAGTGCATATGCAAGAAGTCAACGTGAGGTGCTTCTAAAAGATGCCTATAGACATCTAAGAAGCACCTTTTCAGTTTAGGAAAGTACATATACAAAATATCAACTTGAGGATGTTGATTTGTTTATTTATACTTTTTCCTGATTAAAAGGTGCTTATAAGCACCTAGGAAGCAGGGCCTGATGAGTACATAAGAAGCAGGTGCCTATGAGCTCCATTTTTAGTTTACACCAATAATAATGGTTAGTAGTCCCAAAACCTCTATTTATTATGTAGAATTTTACTGAATATATATAAAATATTCCAAGCTTCCTCAAAAGTATTATTTTTTGTTCTTATTGATATTTTGATTGACATGTAAATATTTGTTTATTACATAGGTTGACACCCTCTTGATGCTTGTGAGTTAATAAATCTTACTATACTTTTTATTTCAAAAAAAAATTATTTTTATGATCTAAATATTTCACTGTTTGCATGTTTGTATGTGTCTTTAAACTTGAATGAGTTTCTCCATTTGTCATCTCCATGGCCAAAAGGTAATGGAAAGAAGAAAAGATGCATTTTTGATAGCAAAAAAGGGGTGCATGTTAGACATACAGTGTTGAAACTACAACATGTAGCTTTCTTCTGATTTTTTAGCAATAGAGATACTGGAAATTACTTTTCAAAAAGGGGCTGGGGATTGCAAATTGCAAATATGAATGTGGTTTAATAAGCCATTACAATACTGGACCTAAGTAAGAAAGCTTTTTCTAAAAATTTTTGGGCGATAAAAAATAAGCTGCTCAATATTTTTTTTTTGAAATAAAAAGTATTGTATGATGTATAAATTTATAAACACCAAGGGAGTGTTGACCAATGTATAAGAATATTTACATGTTAATCAAAATATCAATGAGATCCCTAATATCTTCCATAGAATAAAGAAGATAACCCATAAGCAAAAGACCTACGGTTTAGAATCATCTATCTCTAACCCCATCAAGATCACCTTCCACGCCCCTTAAAAACTCTCATGTTTCTCTCTTTTCACGCCATCCAAAATATAGTAAAGAGAATGAAACCCACATGTTTTTTCCCACTGTTAATACCCTCCAGGGTCAAATCTCATCCGTCACTGAATCAACAATCGCCCAACTAATCCCCAGTAACCCATAAGTCATGGTCCATAACTTATACACGAGTGGGCACCAAAGCAAGATGTGATTACAAGACTCCGCCTCCCTCTTGCATAAAAGATAACCGTTCACAATAATCTTTCCCCTTCTCATTAGTTTGTCGATAGTAAGGATACACCAATATCCTGCCCTCCACAGAAAGAAAGCAACTTTGGATGGAGCATTAACATTCCAGATTTGCCGAAAAGGAAAACTGGTCTTTGTGTTGTCATT